ACTTCCCAGCCAAATTCCTTTTCTGGAAGCTTTATTAAACAGTTACAACTAATGTGTTGCACAAGGCTGTCTGCATTGCCGGTCAGGTGTGCTATGTAGCACCTAAGGGAATGCTTTGGGGTGCAGGCTACATGGGACTCCCATCTTCCCATGTGCTGTTTTCTTTCCCAACGAGTCTCTTGTTGCTGCCCCTCAAAATGTTGATGGTGTCTCTCCATCTGGCATATTACAGTGATTGAAGGTCAGACTTTCAAAGTATTTCTGTATGTAGCTGAGACAGATCAGCTCTGGCAACTGGTGCTGCCCTTAGAGAGTAGAGTGTTACAATCAATATTAAATGATCTGATATTGAATATATATATATACACGTATATATCTATATATCTGATAATAAAAAAGGGGGGGGCGGAGGGAAGGAAATAGTTAATGTCCAGAGTGTGGGATCATAGTACTGGCTTTTTTCTGTGAAAAGGGGACAAAGTCTGAAAACAGTCAATGCAGCAAACTTGGCTGAAGTGGGACATCACAGGTATGTTTGAAGCAACACGAGTAATGTTAAGTGTTCACAAGTAGGAGACAGTATGCCTTCAGGCAGGTGTGTACTTCTGACAAAGCCTCTGACAGCTGACCTACTCATTTCATTTTTGCTCCCACAAAATGGCTATCCCTCTTACAGGGGGAAGGCTAAAGGACCTGGTCATGCAATTGGAGAAGATGAGAAGGAAAGTATGATTCTGTGCTGATGTTAACTTGCAAAAATACTCCTTCAGTAGCTGTAGAAGCCTGATTGGGTCTTTTGCATTATGAGCTAATTCTTTCACACGGATCCATAAAATGCTGTCACATGCATTAGTCCTTCAGCAGGAAGGGCTCTTGAATTTAAACAAAACCCACTTAAATGCTTAAGGAGAAAAACACATGCAAGTTGAGCAATCCTGTGTGTTCTGCAAGAGGAAACTGGAGCTCTCCTAAAGTTGAGAATAAACACACAGCCTAATAGATACTTAAATTGCAGCTGATCCCTCTGTAAAGAGGCTCTTCTGTGGTGTTGGGGCCTACAGCAGGAAGGGAGATATTTACAACAACATTGTACATAGCTCTTTAACCCAGCAGGCTGCCACTTCTAACAGAAAATTTGTTTTTTTGCCAACGCATTCATGGTACATAGGTAGACATGGAGAAGGGAAAGGCAGAGTAAATAACTTGTATTTCATATAAGCCAGAAGAGGAGCACACCCGTTGGGTGTGCAATCTAAATGCTTAGATTGCTTTCTGTATGCTTATATCTTCTGAAATTATATGGGTGGTCATATCTTTTTGTATGCAAGTGGTTTGTTTTAGAGAAATACCAATTTAATGTGAAGTTGCTTTTCATTCTGATATGGACTGCCGTTTTGGGCCACCCACTACATGAAAGACATTGAGGTGCTGGAGTGTGTCCAAAGAAAGGCAGCAAAGCCTGTGAAAGGCCTGGAGCACAAATCCTATGAAGGATGGCTGAGGGAACTGGGGCAGTTTAGCCTGGAGAAAAGGAGGCTCAGGGAGGACCTTACTGCTTTGTACAACTGCTTGAAAGGAGATTGTCTCAAGGTGGGGCTCAGTCTTTTCTCTCAGTAACAAGCGATAGGACAAGAGGAAACGGCCTCAACCTGTACCAGGGGAGGTTTAGAGTGGAGGTTAGGAACAATTTTTTCACCAAAAGGGTTGTCAAGCATTGGAACAGGCTGCCCAGGGAAGTGGTGTAGTCCCTATCCCTGGAGGTATTTAAAAGATGTGTAGATGTGGCACTTGGGACATGGTTTAGTGATGGATTCAGCAGCAGTTGAGCTTGATGATCTTGTAGGTCTTTTCCAGCCTAAATGATTGCATGCTCATTCAGGTAATACTTGCAAGCTGTAGTCTTTTACATCCTTTTTGGACTTTGGACAATGGAGCGTGGATTGCATGATAATGGAGAGCTGTTGATGACAAGTCTTGCTGAAACTGTTAATTTTTGTCCCTTATAAATACCAACTGATATGTCTGGCTCATCAGGTATATAGATGATTTATTTTAGCCAGCTCGCTATACTGGAAGGGTGACCGTGATTATAAGCCTTTCCTATTCCCCGTTTGTATTGTGAATTGAAAAGATGAGCTGAAAAACTCGGACTTTATACTATTGTTCCTGAATTTTGTTTAGTTAAAAGTGAAAAGACTCCATGACATGTGTGGTGAAATAGATTGCTAATGTAAAGAAAACAAGGTTGTGACTTTTCACTGACTCTTGAGTGACTTGGAGATACTCAGTTCAGGTTTGTCTAAAACAACTGGATTTTTGTAAATGTTTTTGTGCTACAATAATACTGTCTGATACGTACTGAATCCACCTAGTCAGGAATAACATGCTGTATGCATTTGAGTGCTGTTTGTTAGTCTATCTCTGGAAAGCTTTTATCTCTTAATATCTTGTTTCCTAATCCTGTTGCTCTATCCAGTAACATTTCATAGCTCTGTCCACAGCTGAAAGACTTTGATCTCTACCATGGTAGAAAATTCTGTACTCCTTTTCCCACAGATGCAGTTACTGTTACCTCTTTCTGCTTTCTCTGTTTTTAAGCCCAAAATGTAAAGATGCCTACATAAATTATTGTTAAACTCTAATGCATAACAAACTTTGACTGCTGCGTCCATTTTCAGGGTGCCTTTTGCTGCTTCTAGCCCATTACCTTATTTTTGTGGCCATTTTTATTTTCACTTGGTATTTTAGTTTTTGAGAGCGATTGTACTGAAGCAAACTACCTGATCCATAGGATTACTGCTCTTCATCCATCCCATGTATTTTAAGTAAATTTATGTTGGCCATAGTGTCTAATTTCAGAGTTATTTTTGGCAGTTTTAGGAGGATTTGTGGAATTATAGCCATGTATTGAATGGTATTTTCCAAAGGATATATCACATCAAGATTCTTGAATATGATTTTACTGGGAAAGGATGGGATTTCTAGTCTTCTAGGCTTGAGAAATTTCCTGTCAGAGTCTGCTGGTGCTTTTTCCCTCCTGCATTTGTAAGTGGAAATGTTCTGAGCAAGGGTGAAGTGTGCGTTAAATTGCTTTGGTTTTAACAGGCAAAATGTCTTAACATCAGGGTTTGTTGCAATGTGCCATGTTATGGTTCTATTATTTTCCTTTATTTCCTTTTAAAAAAAATGTACTGTTCTCTTAAATTTCTTAAATGTAAGGCTAAAGACAAGCTACAAAAGTGCAGTCAATACGGAATTGCACTCCTATGATCGTTGCTGTTCGTGATGACTCTCACCAGTGTTCCAAAACAATGTGGATCAGTGCTAGCTGGCAGTTTCCAAAGGGATTCAAGTAATAATGTCAGGGTAATGGAAGAAAATACTCTAAGAAAACTGGCTTCAGGTATCTGTATTTCAGATTTTCCCTGATTCCTGTATAAAACAAAAGCACAGATATAGGAATGCAGCAAATAACCTACCATGTCTGAAAGGTCTAATACAGCCTTGGAAAAACAATTGTGAAAAGGATGTGCTTGTCTCTGGCTCCCCACCCTCCTTCCAGGGGAACAGGGAGAGGCACTTCTTGTCCAAATTAAGAGATGTGATGACTTCCTGTGTGATTGCCACGGTATAGATTCAGCTGCACGAGTTTTCTTTAGGCAAGCAAAAGATTTTCTTTCTTCTTTCAGTAAAGATCCTTTAGCTGTTTGAAACTCCTCTGCTACAGGTTTTAACCTGAGCTGTGTTAAGCTGAGAATGCTTCAAAAGATCTTTGTTTTGTTTCCAGCTGACAGGTTAAACTGGATGTTTTTTGTGGTAGATCATTTGCTGAAATCTCATCCTCTGTGCTGAAGAACTCACTCCTTTAAAAAGAAAAAAAAAACCATGGGACACTTCATTTGAATTGCTCTGAAGAACTGTAATGCTTTCAGAGCTATTATGCAAATAAATTGTTTGTTTATGTCTTGAAAAATCACTGTTTATCCCGACCATTTTTAGTAACCGAAGATTCTTGTACTCTTGGCATTTGAAAGGGTAAATATATTTGTATTATAAGTTGCTGTTGGCTCTAAATTTCTAAACCTCTTTAATGATATGACCAGTGTATAACACTAAGTTGTGTGTTTACAGTTGTGTAAACAGAAATGTCTTTCATCAGTTTTAGCTGCTGTACCCTGAAGATATCTCCTGTGTTTCATTTTGTGCCTTCTGTACATAGCTCTGTGTGGGTTTGCATTGTTCCAGGATACATTACAGCATCAGAAAGGACAAAAGAGCTTTGCATTCTGCTGAATTCGGGCATCTGGCATTTGCTATTTCTCTTACTCCTCCTTTATGCCATCAGTACCTGTTTAGCTGACAACTTGAGTATATAGTGTTTGGAAAACCATTTGTTTCTCTATGAATTTGAATGCACTTCCTTGTAGGCAAAATGCACGCACATAAAAAGCCGATGTTGGCTGCTGGGGTTTTACAAGGATCAGCTTTAAATGTTGTCCTTTTTTACCGTAGCCTGCACATGGCAGATAACTCAGAAATCCTGTTTTCACAACCTCTTTTGTTTAGTTAAACTTCCCACTACAGTGATATTTATGACTGCATTAGAAAAAAAGTTATATTCCCCAGAATGGCTGATAAACAGCTGTTTCATAAATGCCTATAGCCTATGATCCATATTGTAATGTTTTTCAGCCTCTAGGCAGGTATTGATTCAAATGTGAATTCATTGTTCTAGCTGCACTAGAGTTAAAAATAGCTTGTGTTAGTGAGCCTAATTCTCGGGCATATAGTCACAGCATTCAGCATGTGAGACTTGGTTTGTTAAATATTATTTTTTTCCTGTAAGAATGCAGTTATCTTTAGGCTTTGTTAACAAGAGGGGGTGGCTTCCTAGTGTGTAACAGTGAAGTAATTCATCAAAAATTGGAGTTAGGGTTTTTGTTTCATTTTTTGCCTGTTTGAACAAATTGCCATCTGTGTGAATGTATTTTCCATTTCAGTTGCAGATCGCCTGGGCTGTGACCCTCGAACACGTTTCCAAGTTCCACCAAACACCAAGCAGTGGATTGCTTTACTACAGCGAGGAAACTGTACATTTAGAGAGAAAATACTGCGAGCAGCTTCACATAATGCCTCAGCTGTGGTCATTTACAACAATATATCCAGTGAAGAACCTGTTACAATGACCCATCAAGGTAAATAAAATGTAATCTCCTTCACCATAATTCTTTTCTGCCCAGGTATTCTTTTGCCATGCAAACTACTGCTAAAGACCTCTTGGCAGTACACGGATGCTATTTGAAATAGCCTGTTCTCTGATGATGCTTACATGTATGCAATATAGCAAAATAAGCCAATAATTCTGAAAAGTTATTTTCCTGTAGTGTACATTTTATCCAATGAGGAACACTTTTCTCTGTAGTCGGGATATAGGTGTTTCGGAGGGAGGAAATATCTGTAATGTCTTAGGAGGAATCTGTTTCAAACCTTTCTGAATAAGAGCTAACATATAATGGAAGGTCTAGAATTTTACAAAGCTTCTGAACCTGAAGAATTTTTATAATAGCATGTCTTCAACTGGCTGTTATGGTGGGAGTTTGAGATGTTAACAGTTATCAGGATCTGAGCTTGCATGCTGCTTTTGATGATGGTTTACAGAGGGTTCTCTTTCTACGATGCATCTTTGAGTGCTATACAGGAACCAACAAAACATGGGGTTTGGAGAGCACTTGTCTAGAATTAGAGTACTGCTGGTCTAGAATGATGCTGAAAATCTGGATTTCTACAGATTTCTACTTTTTTAGGACTGTGTAAAATTTCTCAGTTACTAGTGAGTTACTTTAGCTGGTGGGAATCGTACATGAACATTTTCCGTGGTTAAAAATGATGTTCACAATTCTGATAACTGTTCTTTTCATTCTCCCAGGAGGTTTTTTCAATTTGGAATTATTTAGCTTAATCAGAAAAGGCACATTTCTATATTTGATGGCTGGCTGATTTTATTTTGTTAGAATACTTCCCTTTTTCTTTTAAGCTTAGGGGATTGCTTGGAAACTGGAATTCCCTAATTATTTCTCTACATAGTGTCACACAGAATTGAATTCTTTTACTAAAGAACTGCTGTTTGCTTCTTTCTCTCTTCTTTTAAAAGAGAAGTGTCTTGTGGCTTCTTCTAGTTTAGTGGGGTTTGACCTTCCCAATTTTATGTACCACAGGAATTTTTCAGGGAGATTTTGACCTCTGTTTGGCAATTCAAAGGCTCTTGACAGTCCAGTTTTATCTTAGGTACCTTCCTAAGACATTTTTGCAAGTAGTCTACAGACAAAAAGTCCCATGTTCTCTTGAAACACTTTTTACCATCTTCTTTTTTGTGGTTTTTGACACTTCTGTCCCTGCTGAGGTAACACTTTCCTCAGCCTTCAGCTCTGGTCTCTCTTTGAGATAAATTCCTGTATGATTGTAAGGTCTGCAGTCTCTGCTTAGCAATGATCTCTGACTTATTCTGTGGCCTGGTATACCTTACTATGGCAGGAAAAAAATGACTATGAATAACACTACAGTTCTAGCATTGTTTGCCCTGTTACATGTTCAATTATATAAAGGGTTTAATTATAACTTCAATACCTTCTTTCTTGTAATGCTGTTAGATTTGGCAGGTGCTTTCATAGCAGTGGGATGGTGTCTGTCTTTTATTAGGAAATCCTAGTTCACTCAAGTGTTTCAGTTCTGACTGGTGTGTTGCCTTTGAAACTCTATCAGTAGGTACAGTGGTTCTGATAGGTTGAAATAATGTCTCAAGTTATAAAATGTGAGAGATGCTGTGGATAAAATGTCTTGTAAGCCAGCCAGGCAACTGTTTCAATACTTGATACTTGGAGAAAAGCCAGTACTGTCTTCAGCATGTTGACTTCAAAATACTTATTCATGGCAAGGTTTTAAAAAATGTAATTAGTAGAGATGATGTATCTGAGTATTTGAGATACTAATGTTTAGCTACAAGTACTCAGTCTCTGGTATACTCTCATCACTGATTTAGGCTGTAGGCACTCTCTCAAAATTAATATTTGATTTGAAGTGTTCAAACTGTGTGACAGACTAAAAGTAATTATCTAGAAATGAAGTACCACCTTAGTACCACACTGTAATGAAGAGGAATGTCATTCCACAGCTTTTGTTTTGATTGCATTATGGTCGTGTGAGGGATCTCCTAAGCAATCTGTGCTTTGCAGAGCTTCCTATAAGTAACTTCCTGTTTGCTTGATGTAGGAACTGCAAGTCTGTGTAACTGAGATGTAGATTAGTCCTTTGGTGTTAGCCTCAGTACAGGGAGGGCTTGGAATCCCACATTCCCCTGTGAGAATTATTCCAAGTGAGAATTATTCCAAGTGCAATATAGATTGATGAACTTATGCAAATGAACATGTGTAAAGCAGGCTTACATCTGTTCACAGCACTCTCTGGTCTTCCTTTTTCTGCAGTTTCAACCATATTGCTCCTTGAATGCTTATTAGGTGGTGAATGACCACATCATCTGCTACTTTGAGATTCTGGTGTGCTACATCTCTTTAGTATTTTCTGTTCCTAAAGGTGGGGAGGAATTGACACTGTGTATCTAATAGTTGTTTTGCTGCTAGTTCATTTAAATAGGTGTTAAGTAAAGTTGATACAAAGTGAAGATGAAGGTGAGCCACCGAGCTGGTCTTGCTTCCGCAAGATATCTAATGCTGTGCAATATTCCTCTTTTTCTTTTAAAAATGCATTCTTCACAAGACAATTCTGCAGCTGTATTATGATGACCAGGTTCACAGCTCTACGTTTTCTTTCCATAGACAGGTGAAAATGGACTTTGTGTCTTTTTTATATCACTGTAATATAATTTTTATACTGCTGTGTAGCAAGTCTTAGGAATATTCTTTCTTCCTGGTGAAGCAGAAAGGGAAGTGGCAACTGCTGGTAATGCATACTCTGTGACCTGCACACTTTCCTACTTTGGTATTTGCATGAATTCCAGTCATCTGCTTAGGCGATGTTTGTGCTAAAAATAAGTAAATATTATATAGATTTGTGTGTTGCCCACCTACAGAGAGGCGATTACCTATGAGAAGAGCTCAGTAAGCCCTTCTCACCTACGGGATTAGTATTTTATCCAAGTTATTTTATGGTTGCACACACATTTGAAAATTCTAATCTTATGGAAATTTGTTCGTGCTCAATGTATTAATTAGCAGAATATAAATGCCTTCTGGTGGCTGGATAAGAACTGTTGCTCTTGAATCAGTCTGTCATCACTATATCATATGAACAGTTTCTATTGCTGTATCAGAAATTGCCTTTTCTTATGTGATAGTCCACTAAATCTCTGCCCATTTGACTTTGAGTTTCACAGCAGGTATTGATCTTAGGGAGCTGGTGAGCTTTAAAAGCAACAAAAACCTGTTGTTGTTTGCAACATTATTTCCTCTTCTCTGTGTATATCTATGTATGTATTACTGTGTGCATGTAAAATAAGTTTATTTCACACATTTTTCATAGATGTCCTCTAAGCGAAGAACATCTTTCCCAGCGTAGGTTATGTTAGACTATGATATCACTGACAGGAAGGCTATTTTATGAGTGGTTTTGCCTGCTAGTTCTGTTAAAGCAGAACGAATAATGTCTAATGTAAAAAAGAGCCTGTGTGGTAGAGAGAATATGTAGTAGCTGTGTCCTTTATAAACAATTATGGGAAGAGGAAGGAAATGCAGGTAATGTGTCTGGTGGAGTGTCAAGTACAAAATAGTTAAATTTGATACTGAGCTTATCTGTTAAAATCTATACTTTTATTTGGATTTATAGAAAATAATATAAGCCAAAGAAGCCTCTAAATTTAAAATTTCATACTCAGAATTTATGGAACAAATATAAGCAGAAAAATATAAACAAATATAGAAGAGAGTGTCAAAATGAAGTTGCTGGATTCCAGTAACTGCTGTTCATCAGTGCTGAAGACATTTCCTGAAGTGTTTAAACAACTTCTAATATAATACCTTTTTCAGAGGGTTTACCTGATACAGGTAAATCTTTCAAAGTGTTTTGAATAAACTGAAGGTATCTCACCAGGGTCAATCTCCATTGCACTTCAGAAGAAATGATGCCTTCATTTTCTGCAGGGTGTTTGTTTCTTGATGTGTACAGAAGGTGACATTCTGCTGTGGGAGAGCTGCCCTGCTCTCAGAAACAGCTTCCTCTCAAAGGGAGGATTTGTCATGGCCCTGTATTCACTTAAAAAGCACACCAGCACAGGAAGCAAGGTCTATACTAGCTTTGAACTGTGGTAAAACTGAATGTATTTTATGTGGATTATTTTAGGTCACTGGGTCAGAGGCAGGAGGGACAGGAAGGAATTTGGAGGTATTGCCATCTAATGGCTATTCCATGTTCTTGCCCTAATTCGGAGTGGGTAGACTGCAGTTAGCAGCAGTTAAAATGCCACTATCTTGTGGCACTCTCACTGCATACAGCCAATCTCTTCTTCTGCTGCTTGCCTTTTCCTCACAAATGTCTGTTTATGTAACTCTAATCTGAACTGGTGCATGAAAGCTATGGCACTGCAGATTATTTTGCACAAATGTGTGCTGATGAGTATTTCTGCTCTATACCAAATCCACTGCAAAACTTCCCTTGTATTATTGAGGTCTACCTTTAGTCCACAGCTCAATATTTTATGGTATATTGCAATATTGTTGTTATAATATTTGTTAATTTACACTGGCATACTAGTGAAAAGGAAGGAGAAATGGGTCATTAAAGTTGAAGCTTGAAAAAAGGCAATGCAATCAATAGTCTAACCATAGTTTATGTATCCTCGATCACTTTATATTGTTAATAGTTGCTGATTGAAAATATGGGGAACAAGCGTCAACAGCGTAAACTTTATGCTGTTTTCCCAACTGTTTCTTGGGAGTTCTATCCATCAGGAAAATCTGTCACAGCGTAAATGGAGGTGTCTGACACTTAACAAGATGTGGAGAGGAGCATGTTTGAAGCACAGATTCTGGACCATAAGGAAGTACTTGTCTGTTCAAGACAAGCCAGGGAAACCCCTTTACATAGCTAGTATAACTTCAGTGCCTTGCAGAGGTTCTTACCAGTGTTTCTGTGTGGTACATGCCTCATCCACAACTGAAATAGCAGATAGGCTGATTTTTCCTTAGCC